GTGTGTGTGTGTGTGTGTGTGTGTGTGTGTGTGTGTGTGTGTGTGTGATTATTCTGGTAGCCTACCTATCCTCCTGCTCCCGGGGATAAAAACAGAAGCACGTAACTTCTGGAGTCCTGGGTCCTTTGCTCTCTCCCTGCAGAGCTCTGGGGCATCATTTCCCTCTTAGGCTGGAGTCATCTGATTTTCACCTGTGTAAGAGAACAGAATCAGGCCCTGAGTGTCCCCCCCTTGCTGTTGGAAAGAGAGAAGAAGCAAAGTCCTAGTTTGTATGGAGTACATGTACAATCCCATAGATCTCAGAGTGCTCCCCGGAGGTGGGTCTCTCTTATTAGCCCTATTTTACAGATGAGGAACCTGAGGCACAGAGACTTACCACTGGTCACACTGCAAATCAGTGGCCGGATCACCACTGAAGTAAATGGGACCAGGATTTCTCCCTAGATCTCCTGGCTGTTACACCCAAATCCACTTCAACAAACGGCCTCGCCTGGATACACGAATAAGGGGAATAACTAAAAGCCTAGATCCTTCCCCCCACTTTTAGGGCTTGTCCACACAAGGAGCTATTACAGAGTAAACTATTTCTGATAACTCCATGTGTGGACACTCTTATTCTGAATTAGCTTAGTCCAGTGGATTAAACTACTGCACCAGTGAATTAAGGTGATTCTGAACCAGGCACTCTCATTCCAGAATAAGCGCATCCACCCATGGAGTTAATCTGCTTTAAACTCACACTCTGGATTAATTTTCACATGTAGCCAAACCCTTAGAGTCAGGTTCTGGCCCATCTCACCAATGACACCTATGCAAGACGGGCGTCGCCTGCGCCCGCCCTCACTCCAGAGCATTTGCCACAGGTGGAATTGGCCGCACAAGTTGTAGCATCTTGACCTAGCTGCCCTGCCGCCCCCATGAACACTTTGCAAAGCTGGATACAAGATAATTATCAGCATGGGAGCAAACACGCAGAGGTGCTTAATAAAACTTCTAGCTTATCTTCCAGGAAGCCACCCGGCAGGCGGTGCAAGTTACACAGCCCTGGCTACCTTGGAGCGGGGAGTTTGGTTCTTTTTTAACCCCACGTAACTTGTTTTCTGGGAACATGCAAGAATTCCACCACAGGCAGATGTGGGACACTCTGTTCCCCCTTCCCCCCCATTCAGTCTCATCCTGAGCTGATAGGTAGGGATGAGTTCAAGCCCTGAAGCCTGAGGTTTAGCATCATTAATGATGACCTATTAAACTGGGATATTCCTGACATCCCTATAAATGTCCCATCTCTTTTCGGGATCTATTCCTGCCTCTGCCGTGTGTGCCTGGGCCGATCGCTCTGCTCTTCTGTGCCTCCAGTTCCCCTCCTGTCCCTTGTCTATTTAGCCGGTGGGTTCCTCGGGACGGGGTGTGTCATGCTTCGGGTCTGGGCAGCACCTGGCACAATAGGGCCTTGATCTCAGCTGGAGCCTCTTTTATCAAATATTGCATTATTTGATGCAATACAAATAACGGGGAGACACAGGGCAAGCTTCCCCCCACCATCTTGGACAAGGGGGGAGGGGTGTATGTAACAGACGCCCTTCTAGCCTGGGAAGGGTGGTGATGGGTAGCCACGCCCAGCAGACAGCCTGGCTCCCAGGACTAGGGAGTTGGCCCAGAAGGGGGTGGAAGAGGCACAGTGCCAAGAGGCTGATCCTGTGACTTGATTCTCCAGGGGGATTCCGGCGGGCCGCTCGTTTGCAATGGGATCGCCGAAGGGGTGGTGGCTGCCGGCTCTCGGGTCTGTGGGAACTACAAGAAGCCCGGAATCTACACCCGGATCCCCCCCTACGTCGACTGGATCGAGAGAGTCATGGCTTCAGCTAACTGAAGGCGGACGGGTCGGCCCTGGATTGGAAGGGACCGGCTGCATGTCCCCCGCAGGGGCACACAGCAGACTCCACACTATTTCCCACGGGCAGAGCTAGCGGCTAGCATGTCAGAGAGCACTCAGACGCTGCAAACGTCAATGTAACCGGACATCGGGGGCTTATAGGGCTGCCCCCCCCGCTTTCAGCTCGCCTCGCAATCAGATAAGCTCAGTGCAGCACTTCCCCGCAAGCAGCATCCCGGAGAGGGGAGGAGACACCCTGAGCCAGCTGGACAACAGGCTCCTTCCACCAACACAACGGCTGCTCCTGGAAACCACCCGGCCCAGCTCTCCTGTCTGCAAAGAGACGTGTCTGGCCTGCCAAAGGGGTGGTTTGCAAGGGGGTGGGAAGGGGAAGAGGTTGGTCACCCTACAGGATGGGGCTCAAGGCAGGATTTCAGGTGGCATCTTGTCAACTCTGCCCTCCCCGGCGCAAGCCAGCTCCAGTGTGGCTGTTAACAGTGAACACAAGTATTGCAATAAAAGGGAACTGATTGTAACTGCGGGTCACCAGAGTCCTTGGGGTTGCACAGATGTGACACACTGGGGGTCGAATTGGGGGGGTTCCTGGGGGAGGGGAAAGTGTAACAGGATCTTTCCTCATCCCACATCAGACATGGCCCTTCCTCAGTTTCCCCACGTGGTTCACTCACTGTCTCATGTTCTGGTGGCACTTCACTCTCCTGCTCTTGGATGTGAGATTCTCATGCTGCTCCGTGATTTAGCCCTCTGGCAAAACCAGAGTCCAGAGGCCATTCCCTTCCCTGCCCCCCCCGCCCCACACACACTGTTGGAGAGGGTGGGGGGAACAAAACGCCAACTAAACAAGGCAGACGTCCAGCAACCTCACGCCGGCTCTTCCCTTGGTCAATGGGGGCCACACAACGCGCCACCCTCACCAAGCTACAGTTCCAGTCCTGGCCTCACGGGTTCATTTGCACCGGGCAAGAGAAGACGGCATGGGGGAGGGGCACCGCTTCCTCCCGCCCTCCCTGGACGGCCCAGCCTGGCCCCCTGAGCAAGCACGAGTCTCAATTCCCTTCCACGCCAGCCTGCCCAGGCTACATCCCTCCTGCAGACCTCCGAATTCCCTTCCGAGGCAGGGGCTGCTGTCCCCGGCTGCGGGCCTTGCCCTCTGGCTGGTGGAGAGACTCCTCTCCGGCCTCCCTGCAGCTCTCAGCCATGCTCACCTGCCCCAACCCATCAGCTGGGAGGCAGATCCCTAGGCACTGGGGGGGCTGAGTGCACCTCCCCTTAAAGGGCCAGTGCACCCTGGGACGGGAGGTGATGATTTATTTAGTGCTGGCACCACAGCCTTCGGGGTTGAAGGCATCTGCCCACTGCACAGCCGGCGGCGGGGTGAGAATCCCGCACGTAGCACCAGACCCTGTCCTGGAGGGATGAGAGGGGAGCTGTTTCCGAGCAGGCCAATGGGTGCTGGCTGGGGAGGGAGGGTTTGGAGCGGGCACTTTTTCCACTGGGGCCGGGATGGAGACTCATCAAACTTGTCACCTAGGCTGGATCAGAACCGAGAGGCCAAAGAAAGACTCTCTCCTGGCCACCTGTGGTTGCTACTATTGTACTGATGAGTATTGGGTAGGTAGTGCCAAGAAATGCTTGGTCCTTGACACCATGTGGAAGACACGGTTCCTGTCTCAATGGGTTTCCAGTCTGGGGCAGTTTTCCCACTGAGGACATCTACTGATCTCTCCCAGCCTATCTCCCAACCCTCTGAAGGTCTCATTCACCCCAGTGTAGCTTCATTGACTTCCAGGCAGCTACACCAGGGATGAATTTGGCTTCAACGCTCATGGGGAGTCTCCTTGTCTGAAAGGAAGGCTGCATAGACAGATGGGAATCACCAGACTGGATCAGAACCGAGGTCCATCATCCTATTTCTGACCAGTGGCCAGCACTGGCTGCTTCAGAGGAAGGTGTAAGATCTATACAGTAGGAAGTTATGAAGTCATCTTTTCTAATTGCCATCGGTTAGAGGTTGGTTTACCCCTGGAAGCAGGGGGGTTTATATCACCATAGCTCTTGAGCTCATCGGTATCTTGTGGCCGTAAGTTCCACAGGCTCATTGTGCCAGTTTTAGTGCCAGCTGCAATTCAAAGAAAAGAGAACCTGGTGAACCAGGGGTCTGTGGTGGTTTTGCATGGGAGCGGGTGGGAATCCCAGTTGAGCCATGCTGGTTTGTAGCATCTGCCAGGGAGGGGGAAACTTTCAAACTGATGGCAAAGTTCAACTGAGCAAAATAAAAACCCAGCTACAGGCTCTGCCAGGTCCACTGGGAAACGGTCGTGCCCAGTTGTGGGTTCTCCCTGGAGGCCTTGACGCCTCTGGAGATGGCAAGGAGAGAAACTAAGATGGATGCTGGATGGACTTAAAAAATTGCAAACGTCTCCCAAACTTTGCTTCCCCAGACCAAGGCAGATCCATGTCTGAGTTACACACCGTGAGATGCGGGGGGCATCCAGGGGGTCCGACGGTTCTGAACTTGGAGCTGGACAGTTACATAAACAAACCTCCATCTCACCAGCTGCCCCTCCCAGCCGCCTGCAGGCCAAAGCCCGACTGCTGTGCATTCCCGATGCAGTCCGCTCGGTCGCAGCGGAGGTGCAGAGCGCGCCGCAGGTCAGCAGCGATCAGGATTCTGGAGTCAACAGAAGTCTGGTGCTTGGGGGCCTCTGGCTCACCAGGAATCAAGGCTGCTTATTGGATGTTGCATGACACCCCCTCAACACAGGCTGTTGTGTACTCTGCCCTTTACACAACAGTGATAGCACAAAGAAACCACTGGCACAATAGCCAAATAACCATGTTACTAACAACATACAAGGCCTAGTTACAGGCATGTACATACTGTTGCTCTGGCTGGGTTCTAAAACCTAGAGCCCAGTGAGCACCACTCGAGGGCTCACAGGTTACTTAAAGGGAGACCACCCAATTCCGGTACACTGCACAGTCCAACAGACATGCTGTTCTCCACCTCTGCTCCCCTTCCCGCCCAAACCTGCAGGAAGATGATCAGGCCCCAGCATCTGCCTTGGTTTTACTTGCACATAAGGAAGTGAGCTGAGACCCTACAAACTCATTCCTGAGGGGAATGCACCTTGGGGGCTCTGTTTTCCCAAGTCCTTGAAGCTGGGCTGGGCGCTCAGCACGATGGAGCCCGGACTCTGCTGTTAGACTTGGCCTCATCCCGCCATCTCTCGCATCTCTTCTGAGTACGGTTCTGTGGCTCTGTGGTTTCCGTTTTGCAGAGAAAGCACCTTCGTGCTGATCCAAGCAATTTGCTGCTCCCTTCAAAGGCATAAGAGCCCGGCTGCGTTTTTATTTCAGCCCAGTCACACTTCGAGGACACAAGAGATGGAGAGATCCGGCACTGTCCTGCTGGGGCTGCTGCTGGCGTGTTCCAGCCATGCAGGTAAGTGAATCGCACACCTGGGCCCGCTCTTGTTTCTCCGGTGGGATCTGCACTAGCCATGGAGCTGTGTCAAAGCAACACCTCCTCCCCCCCCCGCCCGGCTCACTCCCTCACCTGGCATTGCACAGGCTTTGGCTACTGCCACAGTCAGATCCAAACCAGGCGCCGAAAGCCTGATCCAGCCACTCTTCTAACATGGGCTACGGCTGAGAGGCAGTGGGCGTACGCGGGGGAGCTGTATTCGACATCATGTCTTCTGGCCTTAGAGATCCCAGGGGCCATGCACAGGGGTAGAGATGTGTACGCTCCCTGTGACGCTGGGGGCACAATTTCCTGCTCCCTCCAGGTTTTCCCTCATCCAACTCACCAGCTGTCGGGCACAGGTCTGTTTCCACCACTCACCCCACCGGTCTCCACGGCTTTGGTTTATAGACCCTGGTGAACGCTGGACTCCCCTTAGCCAGGTCCTGCATGGACGCATGGCTGGCCGGAATGGCGGCCGTCCTGACGATTTTACACGCAGGTCAAATTTTGCCCTGGGTTGCGCCACTTTGCTGGGGTTGAACTTGATGTTCTCGCCGCTCGGCTGGCCCAGCCGCTGTCCCGGAGCAGCGCAGGTACGCTCAGACCAGCGGACAGTGCGAATCCTGACGTCCGCTCTCTCTCTGCTCTGCCAGGCGGCAGCAGATAAACTCCGTTTTCTCCCCTTCGGCAGGCAAGCAGGATGCTCTGATCCTCGGGGGACGCAAAGTGGTGAATCACTCCAGGCCCTACATGGCCATCCTGCAAAGCGAATATAAGCGTATCGTCCTGTGTGATGGGTTCCTGATCCAGCCAGAGTGGGTGATGACCGCAGCCCATTGCAGGACCGCCAGGTGGGTGCCTTGATCGTTCAGCTGAAGGCTCATGGGAAATAGGCTCCTGGGGAGCTGTAGGCATAAACCCACCCTGCACCATGGGCTGCACATAAAGGAAGAACTAGCCCCAATGCGTCCCCTCTTCCTCCATACACTGCACATGCAGGATTCATAGCTGTCTAGCAGGTGTCTCTCTCCCCATGCTCGTACACTGCACTAGTCAGTCATCGCTTCTCAAATGGGGAAACTAAGGCACAGGGAGGAAAAGTGACTTATTGAAGGGCTCAGCCAGCCGGCCAGTAGCAGACAGGCTGAGAACCCTGGTCTCCTGTTTCTGAGCCTCTCTGCTTTAGCAAGAGAACCACGCTGCCTGTCTCAAGGACAGTGCACAGGGTCTGGGTTGCCGCTGACGGCTCTCTGTTCATGGGACTGTTGCTTCCCACAGAAACTCGCGAGTCCTGATTGCACTGGGGGTCGAGCTGCTGAGCGACTCATCCAACCACTTATGGGACATCGCAAAGTTTTACCAGCACCCTGATTACAACCCGACCACCTGGGAAAATGACATCATGCTGGTCCAGGTAAGTACCTCCTCCCAGTTCTCACCCAATTCCAGGGAGCCCGGGGTCATCATCACAGTTAAACACAAGGGCTCTGTGTGTGTGTGTGTGTGTGTGTGTGTGTGTGAGAAAGAAAGTAAGAAAGAAAGAAAGAAAGAAAAGTCTGTCCTATAGTAATTGAGCTTTATTTGATAGCCAGGCTACTCCTGTTGCTGGGATGCCCTGTTCCAGGGCTGACGAGTTTACACTCCATGGACAGAGGAGCATGTAGCAAAAATGATCAACGGAGAGACCGGGGGGAGTCTCCCCTGGAATTGCCCAATCGGTCAATTTGCCTGGCTACTTAACATCTCCAGGGCTTGATTCTCCACGCCCCTGCACCTGCTGCAGGCATCAGCACCTGCACAAAGCGCTACCGAATCGTAGCTCTTTGCACTGGTGTAAATAACAGCGGGAGTTGCAGGCCAAGGGTGAAACCTGGCCCACGGTTTCTAGGTTATTTGACTGCCCTCCCGAGTCGGCGGGAGGTGAACGTCGCCCCGGTTCAAAGGGGTCTCGTGCAAATCATTTAATCGGTTCTTTGCAGACGTGCTATTTCTGACGCTGGGAATGAGGACAAGGGGGCTCAACATCTGCCCTGCTGTGTATGTCCCACTTGCACCTACCTTTTCAGTCTCAGGATGCTCTGGTGTGGCTGACAGCATGCTCTTTGTCGGATATCGCTTTGCAACTCTGCTTTATAACCTGCATTTGACGGGCTACCTGCGACAGGGAGGGGATAAAATTTCAAGCTAAGAAACACACAAATACATAAAGAAATAGATTCGCTGACAATCCAGGCTAGAAAAGTTCTTTCTCCCAGGAGGGACCGAGGTTTTAAAAAATGGGAGATTATATTTTAGATTGTATTATATCAGTGCCTTGGTATCTGAACGGAGAGCCGTTGTGCTAGGCTCTGCGCAGACAGAGATTGAGAGACAGACCCTGCTGGAAGCCTCCACAGTCTAAACAGGCAAAGGGTGGGAGAGGAAATAGAGGCTGAAATTATTCTCAAAAGCACTGAAGTCCCTGGGTGAAGTGCTGGGTGTTCAGCACTTTTGAACACCAGTTCTCTTATTTAGGCGCCTAAATATAGGGATTTGGACCCCCAAGTTTTTTAAAATCGTGGCTCTACTTTCCAACAGATAAAAATGTCTGACTTTTCCTCTAGAGGGCACCAGGCTCCATCAAAGTCAGCCACTGTTTATTATCCTCACACCTTCTTCTCAGCTGTCTGGAATGGGCCATCTTGATTATCACTACAAAAGTTTTTTCCCCCTCCTGCTGATAATAGCTCATCTTAATTAATTAGCCTCTTAGAGTTGGTAGGGCAACTTCCACATTTTCATGTTCTCTGTATGTATAGATATCTTCTCACTATATGTTCCATTCTATGCATCTGATGAAGTGGGCTGTAGCCCACGAAAGCTTATGGTCAAATAAATTTGTTAGTCTCTAAGGTGCCACAAGCAGAGGTGGGCGAAATGTGTATTTCCAGCCAAAGGCCCAAAGTACCTGAAATCCGAGTCTAGGGTCTCTCCACCTAACCCAAAACGCTGGGCCGTCACAGGCCCTTTAGCAGAGAGGTTAAGATGCTTCTCAGAGCCCTTCTACCCCTTGAGCATTGACTGACAAACAAAAAGGGCATTAGGTACTGTCCTATGTAATTGAGTGAGGAAGCGTGCGCCGTCAATTAATTCTCCTACTGTCTGCAGCTGAACAGCCCTGTTCCCTACGATAAAACAGTCCAACCAGTGAAACTCCCGCAGCAGGACAGGGAGATCCCCAGCACGGCTACCTGCAGCACCGCGGGCTGGGGACGCACCACGGACGACGACTGGGACGCACCATGGACACACAGCCCGGTTCTGCAGGAGGCGAACGTCACCCTGGTTCCTAGGGACTCTTGCGAATCACTCCACAAACAGAAAATCACCGAGAATATGATCTGTGCTGGGAACAAGGAGCACAACGCCTGCCAGGTACCTTCTTTTCTCTTGCTCACTGAGGAGAGGCCTGATGAGTAGCAGACAGGCTCCAAGGACACAGTTACCAGGGCCACAGTTACCCCAGAAACCCTGGGGAATTTCTTCCCGACGGGGCATCCTGGGTAACTGATTGGCCCCTTACTGTAGTGCAAACAGCAGTCC